TAATTATTATCTTCTATATTCATTTTCGATATGTCCAGTTCTTGATAAGTTTTATCAACTGTATCATCCTTTGGTCCCAATGATTGATAATTATCTTCTTTATTATTAATTTTTGATAAATCCAATTCTTGATAAGTTGTATCAACAGAATTTATCCTAACTTCAGGTGGAGATTGAAATTGTTGACAATTTTTACAAAAGCAATGTTGACGATATTGAAAAACAATAGAAACCAAAATTCCAACGATAATTCCAGATGTTAAAGTTATTAAAATAATGTACCATTCTGTTTTGCACTGTTTTATTCTCTCTTTTTGGTCATCACAAAGAACGTTGTCTAGAGAAGAAGCATAGAACTGAAAAATATGAAAAAAAATCAAAAGAGTTTATTTGTATACAATACTAATATACATATGATAACAAGATTGGAGCTTTTTGTTTGAGCAATGGATAGATTGAATTGAACATTTCCATTATGTCTAAGGAAAAGGTCGAGATGTTAATTGCATTGTGTGGCCAGAGCTAAAGAATGCTATAAAAGAGCGATGTCTTACAAAACTTACAAGTAGCTTTCACTGTTACTTCAATAGATTTTTCATTTGTAAAACGTGGATCATTATAACTTTGTGCTTTACATGTGTAATTTCCACCATCATTCAATGTAACATTAGTGATTACTAATGTCTTACTTACAACTCCAACATCACCAAGTATGTTGTTATCTTTATCAAACCATGTGACATTAGCAGGAGGGATACCTCCTTCACCTCTACATACACATGATACATTATCACCTTCATCCACAACCAGAGGAGTTGAACAATTAATTACCACATTTGGTTTCACTGAAATTAAAAACAGAAAATATTCCTTTCTTAATTTAATTATGAAAAAGAAAATTAATAATGAGAGTAGTCGTCAGTGTTAGGTGCATTTTCTTAGGAGTGTTGGATCGATGCCCTAACCAGTCACAAGCCAGCAGTAAGCCCGCTCATCACTCGCTAAAAGTCCAGAATAGTGGAAATTTTTCACTAAACTGCTATCCAATGTGATTTTTGCATTAAACCGCTGCATTATTAACCAATTGTCCTAATGAAAATCTTCTTTGTAAAAAGACTTTGATGTTGCAAAAGAACAACAAAATAACAATAATCACTCAACTTTCAAGATGTATATTAATAATAAATTTTGAAATTTTGAAAGTCCATCGCGTGACCGACTAGACATAAACAATATTGACTTATTATGAAGCCTAAACAACTATCGTTGGTCTTCAAAGAACTATAAACAAATCATAGTCGTCAAAGGCTTTTGATAACCTATTTAATGACGATATGCAACAGGCAAAGTTAACAGCTAGGTGACGACAGATGCATACGTCAGCGCAGCAGGCAGCAAAAGGGGCATATGAGGTGTAGGCTTAAGAGTCAATCATAAATGGCAGTGGTAGTCTTTCAGCACAACGAATCTAAATCTCGCCAACAAAGAAAAATATATAACTATCTTCATTGTTCAGCACAGTCTTGTACTATCCTGTACAAATGGAATGAAACTGAACAGTCGTAATTTGTTCATGTACAATGTAGGATACTAGCCCAAAAATTGATGAAGAGGATACTAGCCCAAAAATTGATGAAGTAAAATTGTAATTTAACCTTTGATGATAGTAAGATTTTTAACATCAGATGAATCATTTCCCAGTTTATTTTTTGCTTCACAACGATATGAACCAGCGTTATTGAAGTTGACAGAATTAATGATGTGTGTCTTATTATTACTGATAACTGCACCAATATGATAAATAGTGTAGGTTGGTTCAGGATAACCATCTGATTCACAGGTTATTGTCACATTTTGACCTTTTCTTACTGACATTGGACTGATGGTAATATTGGTTTGTTGTGGTGGATCTGTATAGAATTAACAAAATTCAATATTCTGTAAACGTTTATAATGAGATCTGAAATGCCGCCTTGCAAACTTACATGTAGGTGTCACTGTTATTTCAATGGATTTCTCATCTCTATAATCTGGATCATTAAAACTTTGTGCTTTGCATGTGTAATTTCCACCATCACTCAATGTAACATTAGTGATTACTAATGTCTTACTTACAACTCCAACATCACCAATTATGTTGTTATCTTTATCAAACCATGTGGCATTAGCAGGAGGGTTACCTCCTTCACCTCTACATACACATGACACATTATCACCTTCATTCACAACCACATGAGTTGAACAATTAATTACCACAGTTGGTTTTACTGAAATTAAAAGCAAAAATTATTAATCACTTAAATTAGTTATGATAATAGTTGGTTTTACTAAAAAAGGGAAGACAAATTGCAGTATAATCGGGTAAATTGGACTAATCGAGTAACAGAAAGGGAACAACTCTCATCACGCTGAATACATTGTTATAGTCTATCAAAAACATGTTTACTGTAAAAAGAATTCTCGTTCATATAAAATGTTCGATATAAATCATATTGTAGTTTTATTAATTTTCAAATGTATAAATTTCTAAAAATGGTAAAAATGCAAAAACACAAAAAATAGACAAAGTTGCAATAAAAACTCTCGCTTTAGACATCAAAGATGTCCATCAAAAACAAAACATCGATTGTTTGATAATGATACAAACATAACTGGTTTTGACGATTCCATAGCTCATTTAGATTTAGAAAATGGCTAATTGCCAAAAAACTTAGTCTTATATGTTAACATCGCAAAAATGATTGACTCAAAACAAGTGTAAAATATTTCTAATTTTCAAGTAAATAAAAAACTTGTAAACGCAAGCGTATCAAGAATGGTCAAAAATGGTCGACATAAAACATACTGTAATTTGGTTGATTTTCAAATGAGGAATATAAATTTCTAAAAATGATAATTTAAATGTTAAGTAGCTAACAAAAAATAGGGATGACTTACTTGCAACAAAAACGCTGACTGTAGATATAAAAGCAATACCATCTTTTCTTCTCATTTCAAACTCATATGTTCCATCGTAACTATGAGTGATATTTCTTAATTGCAGCGTTGAAGGTTTGTAGACGTCATAATTTGGAAGAATTGGTGCACTGGTCTTTTGTACATCTCTGTTTAAAAGGACAATGGCCAAAAGTGTTTTTGGTGAACCATCATTACTACCAGCGAAATGCCAATTTCTAATTTGCGAATCACTTTCTTCACTATCATTAAAAGTCCACGTTATATTGTGTGTTTCTCCAGGTAGAAATGTAAAACGTGTTCCAGAGGGAGGTGATTGAATTACTCCTATGACAAGAAATGAAAGATAAATGGATAAAAATAGGTACGCCATACGTACAAATGATTTTGAACATAAATCAAATGTTTATTTAACGTACATAAAACTATACAAAAAGTTCATAAGAAATTTTACGAAAACATCTCTACTTAAGTTCAAAGGTTATTTAATTTCATAATAACAAAAATAAGTTAAAAGACTAAGTCAAAGATTAACAATAACAATAATTTTGCGTTATTTCTTTTTCATGAAATCCATTCATGAAGTCCAGGATGAAAAAGTATAACCTGGGAGGTAGTTTTAATGGATGTGTATGGTGGTCATGAATAAAGACATAGAGGGAAAAGGAAGAAAAAGTTTTAACTGTTAAGCTCAACACTAAGAGGTCAGTAGCAGAGGATGCTGTAACAAGTATCTCTATGTGTATCAGTAAGAACCTTATTGATCAAAACTGAAAAAAGATGAACATTACTCTGACCAGGTATAAAAATCAGTTTCCAACTGTAATGTTTTTGAGAGAAATTAAGAAAACCCTACAGTCCTGGATTACCCCCAAAAAATTGTGAAATTGATAAGCAAGTTTTTCAAAATGATAAGCAACTTTTTTTTCCATTAAATTAAAATTGAGCTGAATGATTGCAAAACGTGTGACAACATCAAGACCAAATGTGATCTATTACTTACAATAAAAAATAAGCAATACAACAGAAGAAGCTAAAATTTCTAAATCCCAAAATATGGTGGACTTTGAAAGCTTAATGGAAAAAGAATATCAAACTGAATGATTGAGGTCAATTTCCAATTAACAGAAGATTTAATGTATTGGTGCATATGAGTGCAGCCATCAGCATTTAAAAATTCTTCACACATTGGTATGAGCATCAAATGATAAATTATAGCTGGCATATAAATATAATTTAGACTTATGATTGCACTATAGCCACATAAAGCAACATATTTCATAATGGTGAAACACATTTGTCATTATTGTACAAGCACAGGGGCTATTACTATTTTAATTTTACCACAAAAAATGTTTGTTGCCTTAGTATGAATGAAATATTCTTACGTCTCTGCTCGATAACCATTATGTGCAAATATTTATAGAATGTAAAGAACACTCTTTGTCTTCTAAAATACTGCAAGGTATTGCTTTTAAATTATTTCATTCTATGCAGAACTGCAATGATTATTTTGTACACATAATGCAGACTTAAGAGTTTTTCAGTCAATTTAGCTTAAATTTCTAAGCAAATTCCACAGTTTTTATTTCACAAATACAAACATTTACTTCCTTAATGGTCAATAAAATTAATAACTACCTTGACAACTTAAAATCCAACAGAACAAAACAAACAACAGGAAACCAAACTTTGCCATCTTGTATTTTGTCTATAAGAGCTAAGATGAAGATATGACTTAAGTAAAATCACAGAGCTACTATGCAGTAATATATGATGTATTCCTTCATATTTTATGTATATTTTTGATTTCCCATAATCAATATTGAAGGAACAAGAGCATCACTAAAAACTTACAAAAGTTTCGTTGGAAAACGTTATGTTTATACATCGTTTTGTACTTTACGGAAATACTAACGTACTTTCCACTATGACACAACTCAGACAACTCTTAATCCACAGGAAATTCCGTGAAATGTCAATAAAATTATTTACAAATGAACTGAACAGTCAATATTTGATAACATTTTAAATTATCACTTTACCTTAAACAATACTGAAGTAACTAAGCTGGTGAAAAATCTTCACGTATTTCTTAAATAAACCAGCTAATTTTCCTTATTTCAAAATTATTTCCGGGTCTCATGTTGTGCAAATATTTATTTAAGTAATGAAAAGAATGTAAACGCCTTGACAACGCTGTCATATGTAACAGAGCGATCATATTTTATCAAAACCTCTCTCATGACAAGCCACGCAAATTGCCCAGAGTTGTTTTAAAAACAGAATACCAGCCACACAATCTTTATTCTGTAATTTTATACTTACATATGACTTAATGGTGCTTTTAGATGAATGTATAAATTGTGAAAGCATACTTCGACACGCTGTGCCAATATCCATTTCCTAGTTGATTACAATGCTCTTGAAGACGATGAACATCCACAAGAGGATTTTGTAAGAAAATCATTCTGAAAAATAACATCTGTATAAATCGCTTTTTCTGAAATATTCTTAGTAATTTTCACAATTTTAATGCACAATTAAAAATTTCTTATACTTTGTCTACAAAGAAATCCAGTCGGGGGGGGGACTTTGGAATCGCCAGGGGCCCTGGGAAAGCTTGATCCGCCCCCCTGTTTACCCCATCTATCCTACCAATGATCTTATCCTGCAGTTTTTAGCTGAAAATACCAAACGTGGCTAGATTGAGAATGTTCTTGACGAGTCACAGCTGTACATGGATGACGTCAGACGACTTTGCTCTTTTTAATCGGGTATATTAGAATTTAAAATTGTTTAAAAAAGAGCATATACCATGGTGAATGGTGAAAATAATAACGTAATAGTTCTTAATAACCACTATGCATTTCGGCAGACTACTCATCAGAGAAAAAACACCAAAATAAAAACTTACAGGCAATATACACATTTACTTTCTTTGTGTGTCAGCAGTATTAGCTATGATAGTAAATGTGTAAACACCACTGTTTGATCGACATTCTTTAACATCAGAGTTTTAGGTTTAAAAACTTGAAATGTTAAAGGTGATGAATCATATCGCAGTTCACCATTACCAGTTATCGTTACAAGTCGTTGCGCAGCAGTAGCACCACGAGGGATAAAGGACCAAACACGTGCAATTATGGATGAGGTAACATCAAATCTCCAAGTTATATTGTGAGAAGATTCAGGTAAAAATACAAATCTTTGACCATCGTGGTGGAGATATTATTGAATCTAAAATTATCAATTCGATATTGCTACATCATAGATGATTTGTGGAAAAAACATAGACGCACAGAATTGAAGTCTTTGTTATTGGTCACAAATACCAAACATTTCTGCAATTGATGTAATGGCTGTGAATATTGTCCATTGATGAGCATAATTGAGATGTTTGCTTGTTGAAAACTACCATTGATGTTTATGGAATTGAAGCATTGTTTACACGAAGCAAGGATAGCACTATCCATTGTGCAATGACTCGCACGTTAAAATTTATTTACATTTTGTTCACTAAATTGTTTTAAATTGCAGTTTGCTGTCTTTCTAGAAATTTTTAAATTAAAAAATTTCTATTACCGCCCAAGCTTGCTGAAACAAAGCCACTCAATGTTAGCTTGTCTTTGGGGGTAGGTCAAACCTCACATCTACAGTAGACACGAAAATAAAGAAGCAAAAAAATAATGATCACGAAATTGTTTTATTCGTAAACATCCCTTACACTAATGCATATGAAATGATTCAATCGTAAAGAAGCAATTTAAAGAGTTTTCCATCACACTCCTTGAAATTGCTTGATTTTTCTATCTAATTTCTACACTTAATTTCTATGTAAATAAAAGTTTAAATGGTTTAACCATGATCATTAAAATAACAAAAGTAAAACTACAATTAAAGCTATTCTATTCAAAATGCTGTGTTAAAGTCAGTGTGTAATGTTGTTGCCTTATAAAGGCAAGTAAAATACATTCACAAACTGTAGCATAGATGCCAAGATTCAAGTTTGTTCATGGCAAACGATTATGTACACAGACACAATCATAAAGTATTCAGTTTAGTACTGTTTAGAGATCAAATCTAGATTATATAATAAAGAACAAAATAGAACTTTATAAATGTAGTAACAGTCTCTACGTACTCTTGTTTTATTAACGACGATCGCCAGTTCTAAAGAAGATTTATAATAAGATGAAACTAATATAATAAGAGAAAGAAAAACATGTTTTCGGCATTTTTATAAATATATTCAACAAATGAATCAATTTTTACTTTTTTCTTCAACTATCAATTAATGACGTCGAGCTTTGTGGATCTTTTCCAAAAGATAAAACTTACTATTCCTTCTTTTCATCGCCTTTTTTGTCACCACCTTTCTTGTCGTCTTTCTTCTCGACAGGTGCCAGTTTACTCATATCAATGCTGGTATATTCAGTTGGTGCAGGACGATTTTTGTCTGGCTTTCTTTTAGGTTCATCTTTAAAGTCAAGGTAGGAGTATAACTAAATAAAAACATACGTATATATTGTCATTGTATATGTATATATTTTATCAGCTTGAAGATTTGTAATCCAGACATAATTGCCATACGAAAGAATTTTTACAATTGTATGATATTAAATTGTTGGACAATTTAAGCAATTTTTCAGGTTCATGAGACAATTGCTTAAATTGTCCAACAAAGTGCGAAGATCATATCTACATTTAATTCCAGACATAATTCTTGTTCAAAATTGAAAGTTTCGCCGGATTGTAAATAGCTAATAACTTCATAAATTCTGAAGAAGGCAGGAAGCATCGAGTCGAAAGCTCAATAAAATTATATATAAAAATCCGGAGAAACTTTCAATGTTTAACGATATATTTTATCATATATACATAAGGTGATAAAATATATAAAGGTTTTTTATACATCGTAAATGAACTAATAAACACAGGACGTTAAATAAATGCAATAGCCGCCTAGAAAGGGCAGGGGGGGGCTTCAATTGACACAAAGAGTTAAATAGAAAGACGTTTACATCATTCTCTATCACCATATTGTGAGCAAATAAAAACAAAGTCAAGACTAAATATGCGGTTTCTTAGCGCAATCGATGACCCACTGTTAACAATAGCAATGTGTGGGGTGCGACTATTGGAGTCAAAGCGTTTACTAGAGAGAATCGCTTAATATAAAATCAACTTTCAATGAAGCAATTCGTACGTATTATTGTTTTCAATTGCGTTTACAGGTCTTTGGGGATCATGTATTGCTGAATTGTATAAATTCCAAATGTCGCGGGTGTTTTCAAATATGAGCAGTTTTTTTTGAACACCCTGCATAAATCCCATGATGCATTCAAAATCATCACCATAATCCAACTAAAACAAAATAAATGCACAAATCCTATTTATAAATAATAAATGACAAAGATCCACAACAAACCAGATTTCCTTCTCTATTTTCTCTATCGATCGAGGCATAAACAGGTGGTGGTGCTTTACTTGTTGATGGTTTATTTTCATCACTTGTTGATGGATTATTTACTGATTCATATTGATTACCAACAGATTAATAAGCATTTTCTCTAAGTTCTCCAGCCACTTCATAATGATGGGTTGTGCATTATTAGCTCCAGCTAAAGGTTCAACACCATTTTCACCGCTGCAACATTAACAACCATGATCAAATTTTGTACACATGATATGGACAAAACGAAGAAAATATAGATACAACATTAATACAACAGTTTGTACTGTACGAAAAACAACAGCTTCTCTAACTTGCTCAAACCATGAAAATATTTTATTTAAAAGATAAGAAATAAAAAACACATTAACATCACATATTACACAAAGAAAATTAAAATGAATAATTCACTTACTGGTATCCTTTTTCTACAATAAACATAACACAAAAGTAGATACTTAATAATAAATAATACGACAGCAGAAAATGACAACAACTATAATGTCGACAAGGAAAACTGCTCCAACAGAAATGCCAACAATCAGAGCAATATTTGGTCCATCATCATCATCATCTTTAACTGTAGAATTATTGTTGCCATTATCTTTGCTTGTAGAAGTATTTTGGCTAACTTAAATAAAGAGTTGTGAACTTTGATAAATTTTATCAAACAGTCTTCCTGACGACCCCACCAAATTCAAACATTAATCATTAGCTTTTTAAATAGGTCTAGCAAATAGTTTGAAATAGCCAGAATGAAACAATGCGATATGCAAAAAAAAATAAAATTCACAATACACACTAAAGTTAGTGTCACGTCACACGTAAATTGATAAATTAATAAAAAAAGTTTAAAAAACAAATGGTGAGACACGCTCTCCATAAATGATATTCCACATTAAAGAATTAAAGAAAAAAACGTTAAAAAAAGTTACCGTTATTAGTGGGAGTGAAACTAATTGATGACGTAAAGGTAAACGTCATCAATGACGTAATTATCGACGGTGATAGACTGAATGAGCTTGATATAGGAGCTAGCACAATTACAAAAATTGTTCAAATGAGAATGATTCCAATATTAAAATTCCTTCAATATTCAAATGCGTGCTACCAAATCGTGAAAATTTGCTAGTTTGAAATTCCAGTCATTTAAGCAATTCACGCCAAGTAATCTATTTAAATTAATGAACGTGGCAATTTACGTTTATAAACACTTTAATGATTATACTGGGAAATACAGATAAGTTAAACATATTTTTACTGAAAGTCATTGAGGAATATATATTCATAGAAAAAAATGTTATGGTTAATGCAGCATGCAGACATTGCCAGTCTTTGCTTTACCACACGAGCCAGTAAAAAGTTATGTAAACAGAGCAATCTTCGTTGTTTACTGAAATTTTATTGTTATAAGGGTATTCAAGTGCATTCCAGAAGTCTAATGCTAATTACAATAAGATAAACATCGGTCTTTCACCTTTTGCTACCAAGAAAGTTCGTACATAATGCAAAATAAAAGTCCAACAAGTAATAAACTGAGGTTCTTAATTTTACCTTCGTCGGCAGTGGGATCTTTATCTTCGTTAACAACTTTGAGACTTAGAGAATCAGACCAATGATTTCCCAGTTTATTCTTGGCTTCACAATGATATGAAGCATTGTGACTGATGTTGACAGATTTAATGGTGTACGTCTTTCCACTGCTGAAAAAATCATTATTACGAAGAATAATGAAGGTTGGCGGAGGAAAACCATCTGATTCACAGGTTTTATTCACACTTTCATCAATTTTTGGATTTATTTTTGATATGGTTATGGTCGTATTTCTTGGTCGATCTAAAATTTAAAATTCAAAATTCTACGTATTTCACAATTTGAAAACCTTATTGCAAAAGTACTAAATATATAAGTTCGCAACTTACAATTCACTATTATTTCAATGGATTTTTCGTCAATGAAACGTGTATCATTAAAACTTTCAGCTTTACATCTGTAACTTCCACGATCATTTGGTGAGGCACCAGTGATTACTAAAGTCGCACTTTCAACTCCAAATTCACGACCTGTTCCGTTATCTTTATCAAACCATGTGACATTAGCAGGAGGGTTACCTCCTTCACCTCTACATACACATGACACGCTATCACTTTCATTCACATACAGAGGAGATGAACAGTTAATCGACACTGTTGGTTTGACTGAAATTAAAGACAGAATCATAATAATAGTCATGATAGAAACAATAGGGTATTTATTTGTAAGCGTCAGTGAGACAGGGGTAAAAACCGGAAGAGGAATGTTGGATCTGTAAAGAATAAAATTTATTGTGGTATGTGCTGTGTATGTCATATTTGATTAGTTCATTCGTAGTCACATGACTTAAAATAAACGCAATGTTTCCCGTCCGGGGAAACAAGTGAAAAATTGTTGCGTATTGATTTTAATATCATAAAAAATAAAACAGCTATGGAGTCGAAAACTAAAAATACAATTATGAGTTTATTAAGCAACGAAATTCAACTTGTAATAGAAAAAAAAAAGATTGAGAAAACCCTTAAAAGTGCTCCAAAAATGCTGTGGTCGCCCTTAAAGCATTTTACAACAAAATCTCGACGGACAAATCTCCACCGAAAGAGACGTTGATTTCATTGAAAAGCTGTGAAAATCTATGAATTTTATTTCTATATATAACAAAACACTTAATGTATGATTCCGTGAGAAATACTGAGCTTTGTTTTCCCTCGAATCGCATGCAATGTATTGAGACTCTTGGAAAACTAAACTCACTATTTCCCTTGCGAGCATACAATAAGTGTATAACACTCCAAAGTCATGATATTTTACCACACGTAAATAATAACAAAGTTGAAGACGAAGTTTTCAAACATCTATATTAACAAGATGATAAAATATATATCTGCAAAACTTACATTTTACTTGTATTTCAATGGATTTTTGATCTCTGAAACCTGGATCATCATAACTTTGTGCTTTACATCTGTAACTTCCATTATCATTCACTGTAACATTTGTGATTACTAAAGTCGCATTTTCAACTCCAAATCCACGAACTGTTGTGTTATCTTTATCAAACCATGTGACGTTAGCAGGAGGGTTACCTCCTTCACCTCTACATACACATGACACACTATCATTTTCATTCACATACAGAGGAGATGAACAGTTAATCGACACTGTTGGTTTAACTGAAATTAAAGACAGAATCATAATAATAGTCATGATAGAAACAATAGGGTATTTATTTGTAAGCGTCAGTGAGACAGGGGTAAAAACCGGAAGAGGAATGTTGCATCTGTAAAGAATAAAATTTATTGTTGTATGTGCTGTGTATGTCAAACTTGATTTGAAAATAGTACTGTAAACTAATTTCTTACAGAATGAAGAAATATACCTACTTTCTTTGCTTAAAAACACATCGTAGTCGCGACTACGAATTTTTTACCAAACATCGTACTCAGATTGATGACGGCTACGTGTTTTTGTCGTCGCAACAATGTTTTCGCGCCAAAATGACGTAAATCGTACTCGTAGTCGTACTCGTAGTCTTTGCTAAAGCTCCCTATTATCGCAAAATTTCATTTGACTGCTCTCCTTATCTGAGTTGCTAATACACAATTAATTCATACTTTTATAATCCACCAATAACATGGGCCACATGACAGCCCAAACAACCGCTAAATCTTAAAACACTAGCATGAAGCAGGGGCTGAAGACAAATGGAATTATGGAAAAAACACCGGCACACGCTATGTCGTTAACCATTTACGGTTGCACATCGTTTGAATATTTTTTAGTTCCTACAAACGATATACGCTGCACCCCCTGGTCTATTTTTATCTACAATTCTAACCCAAATACTGTGGTGTTGCAGGGGTGGACTAACCTGCTCATGACTTACTAGGAAAACTCAGAAAGGGGTACTTGTTTGTAGCAAGTAGCCATTTGTAGGGGGAGGGGCTGAAATGCATGTGCTGCTATATCGAGTATAAGTTATTGACAGCTACTTGGCTATACCAAGTTAAGACGAGAACTCAAATGAACTACATAACTAATAAAACGAAAAATAAGATTTTGAGGATTTTGTTCTTTGAGAACTGCATGATGTTCCCAGCACTAGGCTAGTCCATATCACTTGCTTGCACCATTGAACAAAATATTTTGACGTAAAATACTATGCTAGAAGTAGCAAAAAAGCTTTTAGGCTAACAAATTGTAAGCAATTTTAAATAGCGTATACTACTCAAAAGCTGAATATCAATAGAAATTGGGAAGTTTACTAATACACGTTGATGCTTTTGCATTTTGTCATTGTAGCAATACTATCTTTACGCTGTTGTACTTTAATAGGCTTACCAGTGTTTTATTTACTATTTTCCGGAAAAAGGGCCAACGCAAAAGAGCATATGAATGCCTGGAGCACCGGGAAACTTCCGGGTGTCTTAATAGGCCAGTCTGCCTCTGTGATTTTGTAAATTTTTGGATTGCAAGCTACCTCACAGTCGCCATGCTGGATAATTTTAACAAAGGACTTTTCTTATTTACAATGTAAATTTCATCCAACATGGCGAGCATTCCACTCTTCTCTTACTCCCAGGGGGATGGTTGTAACCCACCAATAAATACGTTCGGCAAACTGCTTATATATAGCTACATTACTTTATAAACCATGCACAAGTAATGCCCTTTATGATAAAGGGGAGGAAACTCTGAACTTTCAAAGAACAGAAAATTAGTTATCCTGCTTTCTTTGTTTACTATAAAAATGGCCGTTGAGTTTGCAATTCAATTTTACAAAAGTGCTTACAAATAAAGAAACTAGATGTACACCGCACTTAACAACTGTTTAGATGAAACAGCTCCATTAATTTGACATATCTGAGTGCGGTTTGTCAAGTAAGATGTCAATAAAGATAAAGCATTTCCGTTTATGCCAAACAGTTTAAATTTATTTAGTAAAATTTCACGATCAACAGTGTCGAAAGCCTTTTTTAAGTCAATGAACACAAGGTTGAATATTTTTTGTCAATATTTATATACCAGCTATTGGTACAATCTAGTAAGGCTGTAGCTGTTGAATGATGCTTTCGGAAGCCAAATTGGGAGTCACGTAGTAAGTGAAATTTCGTTAAGTGATCATAAAGTTGGTCGTATAAAATGCTCTCCATAATTTTGCTGACTGCCGGTAAAACAGAAATCGGTCTGTAGTTGGTTGGCAAATTTTTTTGGCCGTTTTTGAACAATGGAATAAGTCTAGCAATTTTCCAATTATTAGGAAAGTTACAAAATGTAATAGAATGGTGAAATACTAATGTCAATGAGTCAGCAATAATGGGCGCAGCTAATGAAAATTTTGTCAATACCAGTGATTTTTTATAGGAGAGACTACATAACATTTGATAGTTTACTTTTGGTTACAGGATGAAAATTTGAAAATTCGGATTTGGGATTTTTCATAAACTCTTGAAAGTTACAATTTAATGAGTCAAGTTTTTCAGTCAATTCAGACCCAATTTTTGAAAAATATAGATTGAAACCCTCAGCAATATCCTCGGAGTTTGTCAGATTGATGCCATCTATACTTAACTCATTGACATTGCCCCGTCTGTTTTGACTGCCCAATAGATGGTTGATTGTTTTCCAAGTCTCTTTTGGTTTGTTCTTTAGACCTTTAGACCAGCAATTGTCCTTGCATAATAATTTTGTTTAGCTTTTCTCACTTCTATGTTGTTCACTTTATCCCTTAGTTGCTTAAGCATATTCCAATCAGTTTTATTCTTGTTTATGATGGCTTTTCTCTTGAATGCATTTCTGTCAATAATAAGTTGTTTAATGTACCTTGTAACCCTAGGTACATTTTTGGATTTGATTTTCTTATGTTGTATAGGAGCATGTTTATTAAGTACTTCATTAAATAGCGTTTTCCATAAATTCCACATGTCGTTGGGATTATCAGCAAAATAAAATATGTGCTCCAAATGCTGATAAGTTAAATCTTCAATAAATTTTTCACTATTGAAATTTTTCATGTTTCTAATTTCAAATGTATTCTCATTTTGTTTTTTTGAGAAGTTAATTTTCCTAACCGCAAATATCAAGTTATGGTCAGAAATTCCATTATGTATGACGCCAGAATGGGAAATATTGTCTGGGCTATTAGTTATTACATGATCAATACGAGGTTGACAGTGTTACTCGCGTGGACAATTAATGAGTTGAGAGAGTTGATACAATTCATATAGAGATATAATTTTCTTTGTTGGTGTATCAGGTTCATGTTTAAGCATGTCGCAGTTAAGATCACCAAAAATATATAATTCTTTACTTTGATCGCCAAATTGTTTGATTAATTTTTCAAAATGCAAAAAGAAATCATTAGGAGAGTAAGGTGGCGATAAATGTCATTACCAAAAAATTGGTCTCCCAATTTGTTCAAGTGGAGATTGGAGCCATTAAAGTGATTTTTGCCAATATTTTCGTTATTTATAAAAGAAACATTATGTTTAGAGCATAATTTGTAGATGAGAGAATTATAAAAAGCCATTTTATTTAAGGAAACCTTGCCATCAAATCTTTTTATAACACTTGAAATTCCCACTTTACCTGCTAACTTCTTCGAACTTACAATCAAGGTTTCTAAACCTGTGGCAACTTCATCAGCACTACTATAGACAAGATCATTAGTACCAACATGCATAATAATAGTACCATATTTATTTTGAGGGATCTCCAGGACTTTTTGCTGGATGTCCTTTACTTTTGCACCACTGAAGGAGTGGCAGGTATATTTACCTCTCGCTGCCCAGGAGATCTTTTTTGGATCTATATGTTTCAACATTGAGTCACCAATGATAAGAGTTGACGCAGCTAAATAGTTATGGGTTTTTTGGACAGTTATATTTTGGTCGTCGTTAGGAGTGTCAATTTTTAATTTGGTGAACTTTTTCTTCTGTTTATTGTGGTAAGCATTCAGTTGAGATTGAGTTTTTTTGTCAGTTTGCTCGTTGTCTTCATTAGGATTATCAATTTTTAATTTAGAAAACTTTTCCTTCTTCTTACAGCGGTAAGCATTCAGTTGGGACTGAGTTGACTGAGTGAGGCATACTTCCATTGACTGTGTGCTAACTGTCGGAGCTACGTGATTTTCCTTGAGGGATTTATTGTGGAGATTTCCAAATCTATTTACTAGAGGAAGAGGATAAGTTGTTGGGTTTTGTTGGTTGGTCTTGGGTTGATTCTTACGATTGACATCTATCCAAGCATTTTGATTGTTATCAAGGAGAGACAAGATTCGATTGCAGTCTTCTCTTAGCATGCTAATAAAAAATTTCAAATGATCAATCTCGGCTGCCATTTTCGCGTTGTCGACTAGAAGGACGGCTTTTTTGTTATCATCGTTTTTCGATTTTTCTTCTAAAATACGTAGACGAGTGAGGATTTGGTCGAGTTTACTTGCATTATCGTCTATGTCTAACTTTTCTGAAACAATTTTGTCTGTGCTGGTTAACGTCAAAACAAATGTCTCGACATCAACCATGTGTGCGCGAATTTTTGGTTCTTTATCATTAGGTTCGATGCACTTTTCATTTTCTTTAGTCTTATTTCCGTTATCTTTGACATATCTTTATGATGGAATATCTTTTTCTTTGGTTTCATCTGTTTTGAGCAATTTCAGAATCAAGCTTTTAACATCAGCATCTGTAAGCGTGGATAAACTGTTCTTTGTTCGGCGAGACATAATAGTGATATTACCAGTTGATCAATTGATATCAAATTTTATACCACAAAAATCGAAAGTGGTATCAATAACTAATTTTTTGTCTTATACTCAAATGTAGTAAAATCTGTGATACAAGCACTTTAACATAGATTATTCAAATCAAAAGATACCCTATAATTTCCTTTTTAAATTAAAACAAAACAAAACAAGTCTTCGCATTTGTCTTCGCTCAACGGCTCAAGTATTTAGCTATAGGATTCCAGACCGCGGTCATATATCGTATAATTACGCCCGATGCTACAGCTACTCAGATTACATGAAAGGCTTGGATAACCCCGCTGCTAAGCTTAAAATAATTAATACAACTTACTTGCAATAGACACGTTTACAGATGAGCCAAAGGGATCAGGAGCGTCGACAGAAAATTTATAAACACCAATGTAACTTTGATTAACCTTTTTTAACATTAGAGTTGCAGGTTTAAAAACTTCAACATCTAAACCAAAAGACTTAAGGACTGATGCATCATAAACTGGTTCTTTATCATCATATATTCTTACAATTACTTTAGCTTCAGAAGAAGGAGTGTCAAATGTCCTAAAGGTCCATTTCCGAAAAACAAAGTTTCCAATATTATTTAATCTCCAAGTTATTTTGTGAGAAGATCCAGGCGAAAATACAAATTTTTGACCATCAGGTGGAGATGTTATTATTCCTGAAATTGAGATTTAGCTGATATCTATGATTGATAAAAAGACAGTTTAGGGAAAAAATACATCTTCTACTAACATAACAAAAGTAATTGATGTTCTTAATTCAGGTTCTATTCAAAAATTGTGAATAAAAAAATAAACTAATTAAATATTACTACTACAACAACTAAAAATACATCAAAAATCATTAAAGTAAAAAAGAAATGGTTATTTGAAGTTAAATACCTTTAGCAAGACCAAAAAATGTGATCAATGTAACAGTAGAAAATACTAAATTTGTCTTTACCATTTTCACTAAAAAATTAAATGATGAATTTTAATGCTTATGTTCTTTGAAAATAAAATCATGAGTCAACATGGTTAGTGCTGTGAAAATTTCACTTTTTCAGCTGCAGCTTGTCAATTCTGAACTGGTAAAAATAGTCGGCGCTGCGGCCCATCTCCAGTACACAGAACTAAACATGGTGCATCAAAATAAATAGTTATTTCTACTCGTAAATAGGCAATATTTTGCGTAGCAATATGTTCCATTAATTCTACCACAGAATTAAAAAATTAAATTTTTTGTGTTTTAATTTACTTTATAAAATAAAAACAGTAAAACATGTGCGCTGATTGGTCAAAGGCTAAGTTTGCATTAGCCTGGGTAAACTGATCTTAGCTCAACCTCAATCAATTAAAGAGACTTTGTTAACCATTGACGAACGAACTTTGTGGAAAATTAAAACGCAAGCCTTGAAAATCTTATGCAAACCTTGGAGATCTTTGTGAGAACGCTCAAGCAAGAGCAAAACCTGCTTTGCACTGATCAGCTCTATTCTAAATACTAATTCCTAAAGATTGTGAATCATTGGATACATTTACATCTCACATTACAATTATCATATGTGACCAGTGACATATCTTTAGTTCTGCTATGCTAATTATTCATGAGTTCACTAGATGTAAAAACAATAGATTTCAAAAAAATGCATAAATTTATTACAGGATAAGAATTAATGTAGTTGTAAACTGTTTACGCATACTTTTACTATGTTTTAATAATTTGTCAGTTGAATTTTCATACTATTGTCAATAAAGACTGTGTTATGTATACTGTGCTGATGACTGCCATACAATATAATCTAAGCATTCCATCCACATAAATAAGCCCAAGAAAGAGGGAATACAAAATTATATAAGTTCAAGGCTTACGGGCAAATGTTTACAGTATGATTCATGATAAAATATAGTGATTGTTAAGCCCATGTAGTGTGCAAATTAGCGGTGTGCAATGTGCAATTTGCACATCGTTTTAGCTAAAATGAAAACAATTGCACATCACTTTTTCAAACGGTGTGCAAAAAACTTCTATTCAAACGATACACGAAAAACACTGTTGTGAATCATATGAATTTGTTCACGTTTAAAAATATTAATTTACCAATTAGCACTATATAATAATTAATGTAATATCGATTTGATTATGCCTCTAAAGAAACACTTTTGTCAAAAAAAATTGCTCATCGTTTTTTCTGAACTAATTCGCACACTGGGCCCATGGAGGTAGGGTAACCCTACCAGAAGGGTTACATTAGCAAGCAAGTTACCCAATGTGAAATTGCTTTATATGTAGCATTTACATGTGTGCTAGGGTAACCCTGAGGGTTAGGGTTTCCATATCAAATTGATAAGGTTACCACAATAGTTGGATTATGATGTTTTTATTTCATAAACCATAAAAATGTTTGAGATAAGGTAATCACTTTCAGTAGGGCTATGTTTACATCATATCTACTCAACATATTTGCATATCAGAGAAAATAAATTGCTTCATGAGCATAAAATTATACACAAAATGTGCTACATGATTTTACAGAGACAAACAATAAAACTAGAGCCCATCCACCATCTACAAGGAAGTTTTCGAGATGGTAAAGAAGATTTTTATTCTATGAATGTTAAGTCGTCATTGAAAAAAACACTTAATGTGAATATAATATAATGAAAATGAATTTGAAACGATTTTCAGAGGTCTTACACTGAATTATGGATCTTTATAAATAGGCCTCAAGGAAGGCAAAATGTTTCATCTTCAATCATGTCTACAACATGCTCATGTTGCTGTCATTAATAGTAATACACAGACCTGTCAATGGTAGAGTCAACCTACACAAAAAGATAGCCTTGCAAGTATGGTTACACTATTCCCATGTAAACAGGCCCTTATTAGTTTGGTAACTAAACAATACAACAGGAAGTACAGAAATATTTTCATAAATCAAAGAAGAAATGAAACCCAACATGCTCATTTAGTATTTAATGTAGTGTTTCGTCTTGGTCTTTTAAAATTATGAAATTCAAAATGCATCAAAATTCTTAAAAAGTTTTGTTTAAAGCGACGTTAAGGTAAAGAAATCTTCATCAAAGCATATCAATACAAAAAGCTGTTGTATTTTAACGTATACACTTGTGCACCATATTATTGAAGGTTTTCTCGAATTCAGACTAAAGCCTGGGCCACACTATCGTCTATTTTGACGAAAACGAAAACGAAACGAAAATTCGTGCACGAAATGCATGCCAGACACGACAAAAAATTACAAGCATGTTTGCAAAGCCAAAACTTTTTTGGCCAATAAGCAAGCGGAATTTTTTAAGGATTAGAAAAAATGGCGATCTCTAAAAGAAAAAGATTACTTTTTCTTAAGAAAAAGTTACTGCTTTTAAAGTTGAAAGCAAGCAACAGCAAACGTCGATACTGGATTCATCCAATTAATAAACGACGTGATCGTCTTGGACTATTTAACAACTTGATTAAAGAATTACGAGAGCCGAACAATGAAAATAGACACAAGGTTAAATAGTTGAATGTTATTAAACAAAAGAATGATAGCACAGCACTATAACCAACATCAACAATAACGATCTTATCTAACATTTGAGAAATTATCCTTCACTCCTTTCTTTCAAGTCTACAGAGAATATAGTTTATTACGGTATAGCAGAGTTAGGTGAAAGGTTTATCATAGATTAATCAACTGAATATTCCTGCTCATTTTTTGTTTTGAAGCATGTTGAACAGTTCATATGGACAAAGCTCGAATTCCATATTAAATATCAGTAACATAATCCGGTGTTAATGTTAGACAATACATCATTGCCCTTCAGTGAAAGCATCCCGCTTTCCACTGGAAAAGAATGAATCTAATATCGATGTTAAACATAGATTCTTACAAGCATCAGTGATTATACTTGTGATTATACTTATACATATCGGCAAGCGGGATGCTTGTAAGAATCTATGTTTAACATCGATAGTAGATTCTTTTCCAGTGGAAAGCGGGATGCTTTCACTGAAGGGCAATGATGTATTGTCTAACATTAACACCGGATTATGTTACTGATATTTAATATGGAATTCGAGCTTTGTCCATATGAGCTGTTCAACATGCTTCCAAACAAAAAATGAGCAGGAATCAAAAAGTTGATTAATCTATGATAAACCTTTCACCTTTTAACTCTGCTATACCGGTCACAAGCCCGGGACTTGTAGCGTATAAGGCTCTCTGCTTTATAGTAGACTTGTCTGGTTTACAAGGAAGAGGAGTGGAAGGTTAATTTCTCAAATGTTGTTAGATAAGGTCGTTATTGTTTGTAGTTGTTGGTTATAGCGCTGTGCTATCATTCTTTTTGTGAAAATAGACACATGAAATACTTGCGAATGACGACGACAAATTTTGACTACATTTTGGATTTAATTAGACCTCACATCACTAAAGTTGGCACACATCTTAGAAAGTCTATTAGCCCTGATTTATCAAAACCTCTTGCCACTCCGCCATGTTTGAGTACAAAGTCTGATATTATTAGCCAATAGTATGCGTTTTCGTAAACGAAAAAGGTCAAAAGTTTAATTCTTCTCATATGCACGAAAACGAAATTTTCGTCGAGTTTTCGTTCAAAATTTTCGTTGCGGCAGTTTTCGTTCTGATTTTCGTCGATATGGACGATAGTGTAGCCTTGGCTTAAAACTTATTTTCCTTCACAAACACAATTTTAGTATTGGCTAATTTTAGTTTGAACTTAGAATTCTCGATAAGAGATTCGTTTCAATACCGCCTGTCGAATGCCATGAATATTTACGCACGCAAAACTTTACAGCAAAACAATATTTTCATTCAAGACAACAAGGACAAGTACGCTATTCCACTAAAAATACAGCAAAATGTAACATACCCATGTAATTTGGTTTTCTTCCGTGAGAATTTCAGAGACTCAATTTCCTGCTTCGCAACGTATGACGTACGTGAAGTTATGGCACAAGTCGAGAATCATAAGTGACATATGAGAAGGCAAGCACGTGTTGAGAAAATCAACCATACGTCGATATTTCTGACTGGCAAACTGGACAGCGGTTGCGAAACGTATATTGTAAATACTTCGTGCCATCCATATAACATAACATGGTCTTCAGGAAACAATGGCCGAAGAAAAACTACTAAATTATTTGAAAAACTACCAACTACTTAATTGTTTATTACTATTTTACTGTCCTTAAACATTACAAAGAAAGTATAAAAGTCAAAAAATTGAACAAAACACTAAACTTTAGGTTACAGTGTACTTTTTATTTCCTTTAATTAGCGTATAATTTAAAAACTACACGGTAGAATTTTTTTAAACTTGGCCAGAATATAGATAATTTTATTGCTTAAAATATATCCAAAATCTGGAGAGTGCACAAAAAAATAAGTTGTAGAAAATCATCGGCAAATTCGGATGACAAGATTACGCGTAATATAATCTTATATAATTAACTTCCTATATCCAGGTAACTTTGCAAACTAGCTCTAGAATGACCTTCGGCGCTAGAATAACTTATATTTTATAAATGTGACATAGCTACGCCACAATTAACGTCAGCTGAGTTTAGCGATTGTCTTTTGGCATGCATACAAACCTGATTGTGAATATGACACACAGACTAAACTCCAGGTAAGACATGGAATATGTGATGGCGAAATAGACTCTGCACCACGCATCTCTGCAAGACCCTGTTTTTCAATAGGATATAAAGAGAATATCAAGCCTTATTAATTCTGGAAGAAGTTTAAATGAACAAGAAGAATGTGACGTCTCTGTGTGACATTTGTGTACTTGTTCAATACAAGGAAAAAGTGGCATCCTGGATCTTTTTCATAAAATCCGTTCATGAAAGTCAAGAGTGAAAAGCATAGACCAGGAGATATCGGGGAGGCATGGTGGACATGGATAAATACATTGAGGAAAAAAGAAAAGAAAGGTTTTAACTGTTAAGCTCAATGCTGAGGAGTCAGTAGCAGAGGACAGTGTAACAAGTACCTCTACGTACATCAGTAAGAACCTTGTTGATCGAAACTGATAAAAGACGAACATTATTCTGACCAGATATCAAAAGGCAACAACCAGTTTCCAGCTATAATGATGTACTTGAGAAAAATCATGAAAACCCTACAGTGCCAGGATTCACAAAAAACTTGTGAAAGTGATAAACAGGTTTTTTAAATTGACAAACAAGTTTTTTTTTTCATTTTAAAATTGAACTGAATGATTGCAAAATAGTTTTAGTACATCAAGGTCGGATGTGATGCAAAAAAAGCAATACTACAGAAGAAGCTGAAATTGCTAGAAGTGATGAACTTTGAAAACTTAATGGAAAAATGATATCAAACTAAATGATTGAGGTCAATTTCTAATCAACAGAAGACTTAGTGCATTGATGTATGAGTAAAGTCATGGGCATTTAAACATTGTTCACACATTCGTATGAGCATCAGTTCATAAATAATAATAGCTGGCATATAAATATTTAATAATTTATAATTTAGATTCATAATTGCACCACAGCCGCATAGAGCAACATATTTTATAGTGGTGAAACACATTTGGTATTATTGTGCAAGAACAAGTGCTATCACTATTTACTGCAAAAAATGTCAATCACCTTATTGTAAATGAGATATTCTTACTTCTTTGCTAAGTAGCCATTATGTGCATGTATTTAAAAGATGAAAATACTGCAAGATATTGCTTTTCGATTATTTTTAAATGCAGAACTGACAACTTTGAGTGTTATTGTGTACACATGAGGACTTAAAACCTGCAAGTATTTAACTCAAATTAAGCTAAAATTTCTAAGTAAATTCCACAGTTTTATTTGACAAAAATAAACATTCACTTCCTTAATGATCTAATAAAATAATAAATACCTTGACAAGATGAAATCCAACAGAACAAAAGAAATGAAAGGAAGCCAAACTTTTCCATCTTGTATTCTGTCTATAAAGGTTAAGGTGAAGATGAAACTTAAAAAAAATCACAGCACTACTACATAAATATATGATGTATTCCTTCATATTTTATGTATATTTTTAATTTCCCATAATATTCAAGGAAACATTAGAGCATAAACTTCTAAAATTTTCGTTGGAAAACATTGATTATGTTTTCAGTGTAAAATCATGGCAAATATCGTAAAACAAGATTTTTTCGTTTTGTACTTTGCGGAAGTACTAACGTGCTTTCCACTATGATGCAAAAGTGGAAAGTTCTTAATCCAAAGAACACTCAGTGAAATGTCAATAAAATTATTTACAAATGGACTAATCAGTCAATTTTCGATAACATAGTAAATGAACGAAATTTTACTCTTTTAAAATTATTTCCGAGTCCATGGTGTGCAAATATTTATTTCCTTTTTCTCCTACTCCCAGAGAATTGATGCACACCCACCTTATAGTAAAAAAATATTTACAGCTGTTTCTTGGGTTGGGGATGCCCAGAAACCCATCTAGCTAAGACAACACGGGACGAAACTAGACTAGAACACTAATTGTGAGGGGGTGTTAATATTCATGTACTAAGCTCTTTCCTGCTACTTTCTTTTGTTGGCGATTTTAATTTCAAAAGATATCATGGGCCGGCTGCAAGAAGCCTGGATAGCAATTTTTTCAAACTTTTATAAAACCTTTTAAAAAGCAAAAAATATAAAATTCGAACTGAGCACTCACTGAAAAGTCTGAAAAAAATATTGTTTCGGAGATTATAAAATTTCTTTATCGTAAGTAAAATATAAACACCTTTTTTACAAATTTGAAAATTTTGCTATCCAATGGATAGCGCTATCCAGGCTTTGTGCAAACCAGCAGGGCAGTGCTGAATATATGAATATTCTCCTACCCTCACTTTATAAAAGAAAAATAAAAAATGGAATGTTTGCCTTTAGCCGATACTACAAGGTCAATATTAACACTAAGCTTCAAAGGACTGGACACAGCACTGGGGGAAGGCTTAGCCCCCAACAAAATCTAACCAAACGTTTTTGCCATTCTTTGCGAATGCTCTATTACTTAATAACTGCTGACTAAAATATCAAAAAAAAACATCTTTAGGCCTTTGAATGTAAATGTATTATAAAATTAAAGTTATTGCTCTTGTTGCTTTAGCATTCAAATCGAGAATGAAATATCAAAACGTTAACAGTTTTATTGTTATATGAATGTTTTATGCAGTGCGGTGTTTGAAATTAAATGAAGATATGATCTTCGCACTTAAATTGTCCAGCAAAGTGCGAAGATCATATCTTCATTTAAGTTTTATTGTTACTCCCAAATGATGGAGGTTTTTGTACGTCTGGAGCATTGCGATATTAAACACTTGGGATTCTCCAGGACATTTGTTTATATTTCAAGTATTAAGACGGCTCTCCTTATGTTGTCGAACACCCCACTAACCCTGTATTAAAAATGAGACCATATTAACTGTAAATAATTTTTGTTACGATTGGCGCTCCATAGTAGATCACTTAAGGTGTTCTTAACTATCCAACTATGGTCATCTCTTAACTAGATGGGTCTCAAGGCATTATTCAGATTAATAGAAAACACTTATTCAAAAACAGTATTATCATACACTGTTATCATAAACAACCAATGAATGAGACAGAATGACCAGTGTATTTTCTCATCCAAAAATGGCTTCCTTCTGGAAATCATAAAGTATTGGCAGCTCCAAAGGGAGGAAAAGTTGCGAAATTCAAATCTTATCAGAAAATGTAAATGTTCGTAAAAGCACCATTGTGACTTTACAACATGGAAAATGTTTATAAACACATGTTTAGAATAAATTTATGATTTTCTTCAAAACAAATTACTATTCTCATAATTTCTTCTTTCGTCGGCTATCTCGTACTCCGATTCATTATTTTTTCACACAGATTCATAATTATTATCTTCTTTATTCCTATTCGATATGTCCAGTTCTTCATAAGTTGTATCAACTGTGTCATCCTTTGGTCTTAATGATTGATAATTATCTTCTTTATTATTCATTTTTGATAAATCCAATTCTTGATAAGTTGTATCAACAGAATTTTTCCTAACTTCAGATGGAGATTGAAATTGTTGACGTTTCTTATTAAACCAATGTTGACGATAACGCAAAAAAAATAAAATAGAGACAAAATTTCCAACGATAATTCCAGATGTTAAAGTTATTAAAATAATGTACCATTCTGTTTTGCATTGTTTTATTCTCTCTTTTGGCCATCACAAAGAACGTTGTCTAGAGCAGAAGCATAGAACTTAAAAACATGGAAAAAATCAAAAGAGTTTATTTGTATACAATACTAATATACATATAATAACAAGATGAAGCATTTTGATTGAGCATTGGATAGATTGAATTGAACATTTCCATTAAGTCTAAGGCAAAGGTCGAGATGTTAATTGCATTGTGTGGCCAGAGCTAAAGTTTGCTATAAAAGAGCGATTTGCTAAAATTTTCTTTAAAGGATTTTTATCATCTCAGGTAGCGCATGCAAATTGAACAGAAAGAGCTAATAGTATTTTAAACATAAATATGATTTTATAGCATAGTAAATAAATTATCTTTTGTGTTGCAATCAGTAGATGAATATTTTGAAAGGAAAAATGATGTTGGAGATACATATGTTAACAAATTTACTGGTTGGAATTCTAGCCCAAACTTAATGAAAAATGCTAAAATAGCTACACAGAAATCAACTCAAATTATTGGTTTGTTGTGGTGGATCTGTAAAGAATAAAATTAAATTCAATATTCTACACAAACGTTTATAATGAGATCTGAAATGCTGTATTACAAAACTTACAAGTAGCTTTCACTGTTACTTCAATAGATTTTTCATCTGTAAAACGTGGATCATTATAACTTTGTGCTTTACACCTGTAAGTTCCACCATCATTCAATGTAACATTAGTGATTACTAATGTCTTACTTACAACTCCAACATCCCCAATTATGTTGTTATCTTTATCAAACCATGTGACATTAGCAGGAGGGATACCTCCTTCACCTCTACATACACATGATACATTATCACCTTCATCCACAACCAGAGGTGTTGAACAATTAATTCCACATTTGGTTTCACTGAAATTAAAAACAGAAAATATTCCTTTCTTAAATTAGTTATGAAAATTAGTAATGAGAAAATTAATAATGAGAGTATTCGTTAGTGTTAGGTGCATTTTCTTATGAGTGTTCAATTAAACTGCTGCATTATTAACCAATTTGCTTAATGAAAATTTCATTTTTAAAAAAGACTTTGATGTTGGAAAAGAACAACAACATAACAATGATAACTCAAATTTCAAGATACATATTAATAATAAATTTTGAAATTTTGAAAGTCAATCACGTGACCGACTAGACATAAATAATATTGACTTAATATGAAGCCTAAACAACTATCGTTGATCTTCGAAGAACTATAAACAAATCATAGTCGTCTAAGGCTCTTGATAACCTATTTAATGAGGATATGCAATAGGAAAAGTTAGCAACTAGGTGACGACAGATGCATACGTCAGCGCAGTAGGCATCCAAAGGGGTATATGAGGCGTAAGCTCAAGAAGCAATCATAATTGGGAGTGGTAATCGTTCAGCAAAACGAATCTAAATCTCGCCAACAAAGAAAAATATATAACTATCTTCATTGTTCAGCACAATCTTGTACTATCGTGTACAAATGGGATGAAACTGAACAGTCGTAATTTGTTCATGTACAATGTAGAATACTAGCCCAAAATTGATGAAAATTTTGATTTTACCTTTGATGATAGTAAGATTTTTAACATCAGATAAATCATTTCCCAGTTTATTCTTTGCTTCACAACGATATGAACCAGCGTGATCGAAGTTGACAGATTGAATGATGTATGTCTTATTATTACTGATAACTGCACCATTATGATAAATAGTGTAGGTTGGTTCAGGATAACCATCTGATTCACAGGTTATTGTCACATTTTGACCTTTTTTTACTGACATTGGACTGATGGTAATATTGGTTTGTTGTGGTGGATCTGAATAGAATTAACAAAATTCAATATTCTGTAAATGTTTATAATGAGATCTGAAATGCTGTCTTACAAACTTACAAGTACCTTTCACTATTACTTCAATAGATTTTTCATCTCTAAAACGTGGATCATTATAACTTTGTGCTTTACATCTGTAATTTCCATCATCATTCATTGTAACATTAGTGATTACTAATGTCTTACTTACAACTCCAACATCACCAAGTATGTTGTTATCTTTATCAAACCATGTGACATTAGCAGGAGGGTTACCTCCTTCACCTCTACATACACATGACACATTATCACCTTCATTTACAACCAGAGTAGTTGAACAATTAATTGTCGCGTTTGGTTTAACTAAAGAAAGATTAGACAAATTAAAGACATCGTTGTACATAAACCACTACCTAATGATTATACAGTGTAGAACAAAAATATTTTTAACCATGAAATGTTGAAATGTTTGTTACATCCTTTCATATGATGGTAAAAACTGTTTTTTATTGTACGAATCATATTTTTATGATTTCCCAACAACACAACAGATATATGAAACATTTTAAGAGAACGACGATTTTTTTGAAATTAAACATGAGTTTCGGAAATCTTATACCATCTTCAGTACAGAGGAATGAGAAATATATTCATATGAAATATGTTACAGGTATCAAATTACTGAATAATTTAGAGATACGTAGAAATTGAAGATGGTGTTGATGTGATGACATTGTTTGTTTAACTTTTTTAGTATAGAGAGCTTCTTTAAGTTTTAGAGTAAAATGAAAGGTAACCGATGTCCACGATGCAAAATCATAAATTGTTGTAGTAAGTTTTACATTGTAGTGAAGTGTGAAGGTGTTTGTAAATGTGTAAATTTTTGTTGGAAGTTGTGCGTTCTTTGATGAGTGTGAAGATATGGCGAGTTACCTCCTAAATAATATAAGGAGAATTACATCAAGCAAAAGAATCGAAAAAAAAGGAAATAGTGTCTTTCAGTGGCTTTATTTTGTGGGAGGAATTTGGCTTTAACCTGTGAAATTTTCTCAAAGGAATAACTACTTTAATGTCCACATAATTACAGAAGCGTCTTGTTAACTTTCGTAGTTTTTGCTGGGTAGTTTGTAATAGTAAGACTTGGATTTAGTTTTGTTAGAATAGTCTGTAGTTGATTTGACAGTTACGATTGTCAGTTATATCTTGGTCGTTATTAGGAATGTCAAGTTTTGATTTGTTGAACTTTTCCTTCTGCTTACAGCGGTAAACATTCAGTTGGGACTGAGTTGACTGAGTGAGGCATACTTCCAATGACGGTGTGCTAACTGTCGGAGCTACGTGATTTTCCTTGAGGGATTTATCGTGGAGATTTCCAAATGTATTTACTAGAGCAGCGGTCTCCAAACTACGGCCCGCGGGTCAGATGCGGCCCGTTAGGCCTCTCAATCTGGCCCGCAGAGACACTTGAGAAAAAAATATTAATATCATTAAACAAAATAAACTTTGTACATGAATGTCGGCGATTTCAAGAAGAGTGACGTGTAAAATACTTCTTCATCGCTCTTTGACCAGCGGTATACGGTTCGTTGGCCCTCAACATGCTGGATGAAAGTTTATGTGGCCCTCTGGCTGTAAAGTTTGGAGACCCCCGTACTAGAGGAAGAGGATTAGTTGTTGGTTTTTTGTTGATTGTCTTGGGTTGATTCTTACGATTAACATCTATCCAAGCATTTTGATTGTTATCAAGGAGAGACAAGATTCGATTGTTGTCTTCTCTTAGCATGCTAATAAAAAATTTCAAATGGTCAATCTCGGCTGCCATTTTCGCGTTGTCAACTAGAAGGACGGCTTTTTTGTTATCATCGTTTTTCGATTTTTCTTCTAAAATACGTAGACGAGTGAGGATTTGGTCGAGTTTACTTGCGTTATCGTCTATGTCTAACTTTTCTGAAACAATTTTGTCTGTGCAGAATCAAGCTTTTAACATCAGCACTGTAAGCGTGGATAGATTGTTCTTTGTTCGGCGAGACATAATAGTGATATTACCAGTTGATCAGTTGATCAAATTTTATACCACAAAAATCGAAAGTGGTATCAATAACTAATTTTTTGTCCTATACTCAAATGTAGTAAAATCTGTGATACAAACACTTTAACATAGACTATTCAAATCAAAAGATACCCTATAATTTCCTTTTTAAATTAAAACAAAACAAAACAAGTCTTCGCATTTGTCTTCGCTCAACGGCTCAAGTATTTAGCTATAGGATTCCAGACCGCGGTCACATATCGTATAATTACGCCCAATGCTAAAGCTACTCAGATTACATGAAAGGCTTGGATAACCCCACTGCTAAGTTTAAAATAATAAATACAACTTACTTGCAATAGATACTTCAACAGATGAGCCAAAGGGATCAGGAGCATGGATAGAAAATTTATAAACACCAATGTAACTTTGATTAACGTTTTTTAACATTAGAGTTGCAGGTTTAAAAACTTCAACATCTAAACCAAAAGACTTAAGGACTGATGTACGATAAACTGGTTCTTGATCATCAATTATTATTACAATTACTTGAGCTGCAGAAGAAGGAGTGTCAAATGTCCTAAAGGTCCAACTCCGAAAAACAAAGTTTCCATTATTATTTAATGTCCAAGTTATATAGTGAGAAGATCCAGGCAAAAATACAAATTTTTGACCATCAGGTGGAGATGTTATTGTTCCTAAAATTGAAATTTAGCTGATATCTATGACTGATAAAAAGATAGTTTAGTGAAAAAATACATCTTCTACTAACTTAACAAAAGTAATTGATTTTCTTAATTCAGGTTCTATTCAAAAATTGTGAATAAAAAAATAAACTAATTAAATATTACTACTACAACAACTAAAAATATAACAAAAATCATTTAAGTAAAAAAGAATGGAGATTTGAAGTTAAAACCTTTTGCAAGACAAAGCATGTGATCAATGTAACAGTCAAAATATAAAATTTGACTTTACAATTTTCACTAAAAAATCTAATGATGAATTTTAATGCTTATGATCTTTGAAAATAAAATCATGAGTTAACATGGTTAGTGCCGTAAAAATTCTGGTTTTTCAGCTCTGGCTCGCTATGAATGTTAAGTCTTCATTGAAAAAAACACTTGATGTGAATATAATATAATGAAAATGAATTTGAAACAATTTTCAGAGATCTTACACTGAATTATGAATCTTTATAAATATGCCTCAAGGAAGGCAAAATGTTTCATCTGCAATCATGTCTACAACATGCTGATGTTGCTGTCATTAATAGTAATACACAGACCTGTCAATGGTAGAGTCACCCTACACAAAAATATAGCCTTGCAAGTATGGTTACACTATTCCCATGTAAACAGGCCCTTATTAGTTTGGTAACTAAACAATATAACAGGAAGTCCAAAATATTTTCAAGAATCAAAGAAGAAATGAAACCCAACATACTGTTTAGTATTTAATGTAGTGTTTCGTCTTGGTCTTTTAAAATTATGAAATTCAAAATACATCAGAATTCTTAAAAAGTTTTGTTTAAAGCGACGTTAAGCTAGCCGAGTATAATGGGACCCAATAGTTTACCTTAAAATACACTATTGCAGTATTGCAATGATAATGTTGTTAAAGTGTAATCATTGTTACTATATATTTATACCAGCTGCTAATTTATTTAAGTCAGTATTCAACTACGCGTGAATCAATATATTACACAGACAATGTAGAAGGTTAAGCATCGTAGAATAGTGATGACATTAAGGTTTTGAAGCAATATGTGGAGAAAATAACTCATTTCTTTAAGGCGAAAAAATTGAAAATGAAGATAAAATCGCTCTATTTGT